TCCTTCATACGTGGGCAAACTCCAATGCACCTCTTGTTCGTCATCCGCCTCCACCTATATGTCCATTTATGTCTCATATGGTTTACGTTGATACGCCATCACCGCCTTTATATTCATGGGCTTTAATTAGATCCGCCTAAAGCTATGTCTATGGATCGAATTTCACAAATGCATATTAACATGCATGATCCTCAATTACCATTCAGAATATTGAACTACCTAGATTAGTATTTTCAAAATGAGAACTTGGTAAAGGACATTGTTGTTAGAGTAGGTCGATTACCAACAACCGCAACATGGATATTGAGGGATGGGTTTCAATTAAGTTAAAAGGAGGCTTCAAGAAAGTCATGCAGATGATTGAGAATATTGAACTTATACATAATGCTACAGACAAGCTTTAAATGTTTTGATGCGGGTCGAAATCAGCAATGTAAAAGATAAGGAATATATAAATCATCTGTAATCACTCAACCGGTGGTAGTGGATTCACTCAATGCTACTGTTAAGTGTATATTTTTACACATAATCATATCCATTAATTAGAGCTTTTGGTGTATTTTATTGATAATTGGTGGTTAAAGTGTTGATTTATTGTGTTTTAGGTACAAAGTGAAGAATTGGATAAATAGACGGTCAAACTGCAATTTAGGAGGAAATATTGGCAAAAGGTGAAAGAAGTCAAAAATCTGAAGAACAAGAGCCCAGGCGGCCGTCCGAGAAATACACTTGGAATTCGAACGGCCGTCTGAATATTTTCCTGGGAAGAACAAAGTCTCTGGAATTGAGACGGTCGTCTGGACTTTAAACTGCAAATTCAGACGGCCGTCCGAGAAGGCGTAGAGGCGCAGTAAAGGAATTCTAATTGCACAAGAAAACTACCTTCTTCTCCAAGTTTTCCATCCTATATAAGACCAATTCAGGCACACAATTGGAGGATCGGTCTTTTTACGCAATTTCAAGAACAAAGAAGCAATAATGAAGACGAAGGATTCGAAGACTCCAAGCATAGATTTATCTTCTATGAATTATTTTAATTTTTTTTTTACTTTAATCATGAGTAGCTAAATCTTTTATTTCTAGGATTTTTATTTCGAACCCTATGTGGGATTTATGAACCCAATTCTATGATGCAAATTTTAATTTCGGATTATTTCTTCTACTTGTTTTATTAAGTGCATGAACTTGATCACTTTATGCGCTTTTATGTTATTGTTAATCGCATGAATCGGAAGATCGGGTTAATAATTAGAACTGTGATAGCGCTTTTATGTTATTGTTAATCGCATGAATCGGAAGATGGGGTTAACAACTAGAACTGTGGTAGAAGAGCCTTTGTGGTATTAACATAGGAATATAGGTAATCTCTTAGGTAGCCCTTATTGAGATGTATGCTTAATGTTGTGTTTTAGACATAATTGCATAGGAATACAGTAATTGAATTTAGATTATTAGAACCGTAATACACGTGGAAGTGGGTTATGATTAATTTAGCATCTCAGGTTAATAATCCGAGTTAATTACTTGCATAATTGAAGGAATCGGGGGATTAATAATCACATAGGGGGGAGAATAAAACCCTAGGATTGCTTTCTCTGATTAAATCTTCGTTTTTAATTGCTTTCGTGCTCTTGTATTTTTTATTTGTTTTAATTGCTTTAGTTTAATTTAGTTTATTAATCATCTTTCAACATTGTAGGTAGGGCTTGATAATAATTGGTAGAATTTAGAGTCTTGAATTAGATAATTAAATATTCTCTGTAGGATCGATACTTGGACTTAAAATTTGACTTTATTACTTATACGATACGTGCACTTGCGTGTAGGTATTACAACCAATAGCTACTAATCCTGGAATCAGCGACGCAACCAAATCACTCATTTGTAGAAGAAAAATATCACTCACTCTAAATGCAAATAAACTTGCAAACAGTTATATTTTTAAACTAAATAAGTCATCATATTTTATCTATCGACAGGGGTTCGAAATTATTCGGATCGGAATCGACAGAAATCGAAATTATTCAGATCGAAATCGGCAAAAAAAAACCCTTATGTTTGGGTGATTGCAACTACCCTCAACTATGATCTTCTTACA